AGTGTGGAGCTACGGAGGGGATTGACAGATCGTAGATCGATCTACGGTCCGTCAATACCTTCCGTAGCTCCACACTTAGAATCTTCAAAAATCAGGTACTGGCACCCTCGCAGTATCAATCTACGGATCAACAGTACAGTCCGTAGATCAATCTACAGACCGTAAATAGCCACCGTGGTTCCACCTTGGTCAAATTTCCCTGATTTGTCTTCCATACCTTGCCTGCTGATTTAAGGTCATCACCTATGGACCGTAAATGGATCTACGGTCCGTAGATCACATCCGTGAATGCCCTTTTTCTGTATTTCTTTCAGTTGTCTCTATACTTCCGCGCCTGAACATCTTTCCTGCAAAATATGATCAATACACATAAAAACCAATATAAAAAGGCCCTAGACACACAACTTGTAGTGAAATGTATTAGAAATACCGTAAACTCACGGTATATCACCTTTGCTTTTGTACAACAAAATCATTGTACTCCATCTTCACTTTTTTGAAATTCCAACAATCTAAAAAAAAAAAAAACTCAGTTAGTCACTTCAAAACTACTTTGCGTGTGTTCTTCAAAATTCCATCGAAATATCAAATAGTTTGATCCCTCTTCTCTTCGACTTCTTTGAAATTGCATCCTTAAGTTTCATTCACATTGTGTACCTACCCTAGTCAAAAATTGCATGAATCTCAGATTGCTCTAACTCTTTCATCTCAATATTCATGTGTCTCTCCCCATTTAAGAGCTTGTGAAAGCATGTTCATCATCTTTGTCTTATGTGTTTATTTTTTTTTCGTCACGAATGCATTTATTGAATTTACGTCACAAATTCTTATTTCTCGCCTCAACGAGCATATACAACTTTTTTCCGTCAAAACCCTTTTTTACTTAATTCTTTACTTTTTTTGTATTATTTGTATAGATTTATATTTAGGTATTTAGTTTCAGTATAATGTTTATGTATATCAATCGAAAATTGTTCATCCCATACCCCTTTACTATTTTTATTTTGTTTTCCAACCTACAATACATTTTATTTTCGTGAAATATTTGATTTGAAGCAAAACTTTATACTATAAAGAATGTTTTCAAATAATTTATGTTGAATTCTTTTCGAATAACGTTTTCAAATAATTTTATTGAACTTTTTTATCCAGATTCCAAACTTTTCAAAATTTTATGTTGCAAAATAGAGTATAAAATAGAATAACCGAGTTATATTATTTTAATTCGTATATACTATTCATACTAAGTACTCGACGATAGGCATAGGATTAAATAAGGTATTGTTTGGTATTCGGTATCGAATAGTCATTTATTAAATTAGCTATTCTATTTTTTAAAATATAAAATAATTAATTTCAATATTTTAGTATATTTCAAGTAGGAGATAAATTAAATCAAGAGTTTAACCAAAGTTATTTAGGAGTTGGTATTTGATATTTGTTTGATTCATATGGTAATAATTTATATTGGAATAAATTTCTTAATTGTGATTCTAATCGAATTTGGTTTTGTAATAAATTTCTTAATCCTAATCCTAATCAAATTTGATTTTGTAGTGTTATAAAAACGATTGCTCCATCAATTTTTTTTTCTTATAGTGAAAATTTAAGTGTCATCGAATAAAAACTCTGGCCTCTTATTTGATTTTTCGTTTATAAACTATACAACCATGTTTTGGTCATGGCTGTTGGAGTCTGTTCTAGTACCATTGCCCTTTGCAGCCAAACTGCCCCTAACCGACCAACCTAAACCTACTGCTCTTTCTTTCCTGGGGATAACGGCATTGTCGTCGGAGAAAAGATGCTTCTATGTCCTCGGCGTGAACTGTGACTGACTGACTGTACCGCCGACGAGATCAGGTCGGCTTACAGGAAGCTCGCCCTGGAACGCCTTACGATGTTCTCTCAGACGCGCAGCGCGCTTGGTACGATTCGTAACGCTCTGCCTATCAGATATTCTTCTCCAATTCCGATCCGAAGAATTCGTCTAATTACTCTGGTTCCGTCCCCGATCTGTCCTCCTTCTTTTCAAATTCAGTGTATTCTGGATATTACGATAAAAGGAAAGGATTCTACAAGGTGTATGGTGATCTCTTCGAGAAAATCTACCAACATGAGTTGAATTTGGCTAGGAAGTTAGGTACAAATTTGCCAGAAGATCTGAAGCTCCTATTATGGGAAAATATGCAGAGTCCTAAGCTCAGGTTACAGCATTCTATAACTATTGGTTAGGATTCGCTACTGTGAACGATTTTTGTCAGGAAGATGAGTACAAATTGACTTTGGCATCGGACAGAAATTCCAGACGGATGATGGAGGATGTGAACAAGAAGCTGAGGAAAAAGGCGAAAAGGGATTACAATGTGACTGTTAGAGGATTAGCGGAGTTTGTTAAAAGGAGAGATAAGAGAGTGATTGAGATGCAGATTAAGAGGAATGAGGAACTGGAGAAGAAAAATGAAGCGGGACGCAAGAGAATGGAGGAGTTGGAAAGAGAGAAGGCTGACAGAGTGAGAAATTACGTAGAGCCTGAGTGGTTGAGAGTAGAGGAATTACAAGATGGAGAAATTGAGGAGGAGCAAGAGGAGAAGGGAGAAGAGAAGGAATTGTACTGTGTGGTGTGTGGGAAGAAGTTCAAGAGTGAGAAACAATGGATAAATCACGAGCAGTCCAAGAAGCATAAGGAAAATGAGAAGATGGCAGCTTTGAGATGACGAAGATGATGATTGGCGGAGCAAGTTGCCTGCATGTGGAATCCGACTGAATCATGAGATTATAATTTTTTTTTTTGTTTTGACTATTTTATTTGGTAATACAGTCATGAATCAAACTCACTTTCGAATTTTTAGCAATTTGTTACTCTCTGTCTCAATTTATATGGCATATTTTAGATTGAGATTCAAAAAAAATTATTTTTAATTGTAAATTTTTCAGATATCTTTTAAATGTTTTGAATTATCAATTATTGTGACTTATAGTATTTTTTACATAGTTTATAAATATATAAATTTCATTTTAAAAAAATTAAAGATTTCATGCGCAAATTTTCGATCAAACTTAAATTGTTTGACTTCCAAAAAATGAAAAAATATCACATAAATTGAGACAAATAGAGTAATTTTTGGCCTTACATAAAAATGATGTTTTTTATTTGAAATATCTTATGATATTTTGTGACAATAAAACTATGTTTGTTCAGATTAAGATATCATTAATTTTTTTAAAAAAATTAATTAATAATAAATAATGTCATAAGAAAGGAATATATGAAGTGCTGATTGATATATGATATGTTTGGAATTTTTTTGTCTTTAAAGTTATACATGTAAGATATTTGAAAGTTTATCTTCTAGATATATAACTCGGTGTTAGTGCCGGCAAAATGAGCTCATATTTTGGCAACCCACTCATATTTTAATGGATTGGGTGAGTGATTTTTTACATGGGTAAAATATGGGTTGATATCCATATTCAAGTCATAAAAATATGGGTAAAGTATGGATTAGTCAAATGGGTTAAACTTTTAACTTTTATTCATTATAAATTTATGATATCACTGAAAATATTGTAATTTCTTTTGCTTTTTATGTTCTTCTATAGAACTAATTACTTTTCACTATAATTGAAAAGGTGAAGTTTTTGACCCTCCAAAATATAAATTTTAAATGTACATTTCTTTTGTTACTTATAATTATATTTATTTATTTATTTAATTTTATATTGGATAATAAATAATAGTGTAAAATAACAAATCATGCATTAGTATTGACATTGTTTAAAGTGCATTAAGCATGTTTTAGTCCTAAAATGCAAATATTCATTTACTTTGAAATTAAAAATAATTTTCCCCTTGTTATTACATAATTTTATTTTATATTGAAAAGTTATAAGATTATTATTTTTTTTACTTTTATGAAACAATAAAACTAAATGAAGCATTTTCAACATTTTTCATCTAAAAAAAGTCTAAAATATTTTCTCCATGTTGACTTCTTAAGTGGAGTACTATTTACTCATGAAAATATGGGTAAAATATGGATAAACTAGTATTTTACCCATATCAAATATGGACGGGTTGAATTATTATCCATTATATGTTGACCCATTTTCAACCCGTCCAAATTTGATCCAACCCACCCATTTGCCACCACTACTCGGTGTGCTGATTTTTCACTTCCACCTTTACTTTCATGTGTCACTTTATTAAATTTGTATTTCAAGCACTTTATTTAGTCTAAGCTTAATCTCACATTTTTTTGAAAAAAAATAATTTGGGTATGTTTTCGAACTTCCAATCTATGAACATTAATTTCATTGTGTGTTTCGTCAATCAATACTATATCACATGCTAATTATATAAACTACAACGCCTTTCTCTTGAATGTGTTGTGTCGTTTCGTCTATTACAATGACAAATAAAGACGGACTAAGGGTTAATCTTTGGTGTAATTTTATCATATTCGAAAAGTATTTTGAATCACCCTAATTATTTTTATCTGAGCCTTAGCTCTATAGTACATGCCATTAATAGCTTTACTATAAGCCACAAGTACATCTCTAAACTCCAAACATTTCCATGAAACCTCTTTAGAAACTTCATGTTGTTAAAACTAAAGTATATAAGAAATGTCATTTTACAAAAATAAATAAATAAATAAAATAATGCCAGACGTATTAAATATATTAAGTGTTAATTGATATTTGATTTGTTTTGAAAAAAATTACCTTAGATTATAGAGTCAACATACTTGAAACTTTTTCTTTTTGGTATAGACATAAGTACATCTCTAGATTTCAAATGTTTTCCTGAAACCTCTTTAGAAATTCTATCATATTCCCTTTTGAGGCCATGAACATTATGTATAATTAGTCTTTTTGTATCTCTATTATGCTCCAACTTTCTTCTTACAAGATGAATGACTTTTGTAGTTGATTGCCCCTAACATATATCCTAATTGATTCTTGAACATAGAACACCCCTCCTCATCCTTATTTGGACTATTCTTATCAAACTTTTGCAATCTGTCTTAGTAGTTTAATTCCTTTTGTAGTTGTGGTAATTTTGAATGGTACCTTTGTTTTGTGCAATAAAATCATTGTAGTCCATTTCCATTCCAACAATTTTACAAAAAAACAATAAACTCACTTTTAAACTACTCTGATCGCTCTTCTCTTCATCTTCCTTTAAATTGCCTCATTAACTTTCACTCCCACTATGCACCTACCATAGCCAAAATTTCACGACTCTCATATTGCTATACTCTTCCATCACAATATTCATATCTCTCTCCTCATTCAAGAGCTTGTGAAAATATTTTCGTCATCTTTATCTTATGTGTGTCTATTTTATCAATATTTCTTCTTCACGTCTTAAATGCACTTTACTTAATTCACTTGACAGATTTTTATTGCTCTCGCCTTAATTAGCTAACCCTATTCAACTTTTTTTCCCACCTATACCCTTTTTTACTTAATTCTTTACCTCTTAGTATTAGTTGTACATGCTTTATGTTTAAGTAATTAATTGTAGTATAGCTTACTAATTGAAAATCATTCATAACGTACCCCTTCATTATTTATATCATGTTTTCCACCTAGACATTACATTTTATTTTCTTGGAATATTTTATTTGAAGCATAATTTCATATAAAGGATGTTTTCAAATTATTTATGTTTGAATTCTTTTCAAAGAACGTTTTCAAATAATTTTGTTAAATTTTTTAATCTAGATTCCAATCTTTTCAAAATTGTTGCAAAAATAAAGTAAAAAATAGAATAACCGAGGAGTTATATTATTTTACAAGTATATACTACTTATAATTGGTACTCGACAATAGGCATATGATTAAATAAGGTATTGTTTGGTATTCCGGATCGAATAGTCTTTCGTGAAATTAGCTATTCTATTTTATTTTATATAAAATAATTAGTTTCAATATTTTAGTATATTTCAAGTAGGAAATAAATTAAATCAAGAGTTTAACCAAAGTTACTGGGATAAGGGTCTGAAAAATACCTCAACTTTGGTCAGATTTGCTGTTGCAATACTAAACTTTCATGAGGACCTATTACCTCCCTAGACTATTTAATACCGTATTTTAAACATATATATTTACCCACGTGGACATAAAAAATAATGCAAAATTATAAATAGTAATGTGTCCACGTGGGCACATATATACCTTTAAAATATACTATTAAATAGTTCATGGGGTAAAAAATGCGGTATTAAATAGTCTAGGAAGGTAATAGATCCTTATGAAAGTTTAGTATCGCAACAACAAATCCGACCAAAGTTGGGGTATTTTTCAGACCCTTATCCCAAATTAAAACAAAGAAGACAGTAATTATACAGTGCCAAAGTGGAAAATGTATGTAGTTGTTTTCTCTTTTTCTTTTTCCTTTAAACGTCCATTCTTACACATGGAGGATGTCAGTCACTACAAAATAAATTAAAATTAGTTACGAACTTAATAGTTAATTCATCATTAAATTATTTTCAACTAACATAAACTATTTGATAATTCATCACTAATTAGAATTAACCAAAAATTGTAATATATTTAATTATAAAATTTATCCTTAATTAATTCATTTTTTAAAACAACCTATAGATAAGCCAGAAAGCAAAGTGCCCCTTACAATTATATAGGCATAATACATAAACATGACCCTTAACTTGACGTCAGCTGGCAACTATGACCTTTAACTTTGGGTGTGCACAAGTAGTCACTTAAACTTGTATTTAGGAGTTGGTATTTGATATTTGTTTGATTCATATTACTATATATTAGAAGAGCCTAGGATTTACTACCATTGTTCCAATTAAATCATTACAAATGTCCAATACTTACTATATAAAATATACAAGTGGGCCCCACCATTTAATTGACTCTCTAAATTCTATTGGTACCACATAAAATGGATTATATGATAAACATATATTGTTTGAAATTGACGAAAAAGAAACTATAAATTACAATAATTAACAAAATAAATCTCTCGACTCCAACAAATCTATCAATTAATGCCACATAAATTGGGACATGGCAAATAACATATATTATTAAAAAATTAGGTTCAAAATGTACTATAAAATACAATAATTAACAACTTAATATATTAAAGAGACATATAAAAAATGGTTAATATTTGAAATTCTGCATGTGCCACATAAATTAGAACAAATAGAGTAATAAATATTACTTTCAAAATTATGTTAAAAAAAAGTACTACAAATCACAATAGCTAACAATTTAAAATATTTTTAAAATCATATAAAAATTTCAATAACTTCTCAAATTCCATAATATGACATAAATTTTAAAAAAAAGTGTTATAAATCATAATAAATAGTACAATATTTCAACTACTTTAAAAGCATTATAAATTGTAATAAATAATACAACAATTTAAATTACTTATTACTTAAAATTTAACGACTTAAAAATATTTTTTTAAATGTATTAAAATTTTGGTTAATTGTCAAAACTTTACATGTGCCACATAAATTGGGACATGGAGAGTCACACATATTTTTAAAAAAAAACTCCACTCCAAATAATCTATCAATTAACAACATATATTGTTTGAAATTGACGAAAAAGAAACAATAAATTACAATAATTAATAAAAAAATACTCCACTCCAAATAATCTATCAATTAACAACATATATTGTTTGAAATTGACGAAAAAGAAACTATAAATTACA